ATTCAATTGTAAGGTGCAATAATTGTGCCCAAGAAGGACACACACAAGAAAATTGCAATAAATGACTAAGAGAGAAATATTTTAATTTTAATGATAAATTTTGTAATGATAATAATTTTTCTAAGGTTGATAATTTTAATTCAGTTAAGAATAAATATTTTAATTTTAATGATAAATTTTGTAATGATAATAATTTTTCTAAGGTTGATAATTTTAATTCAGTTAAGAATAAATATTTTAATTTTAATGATAAATTTTGTAATGATAATAATTTTTCTAATGTTGATAGTTTTAATTCAGGTAAGAATAAATATTTTAATTTTAATGATAAATTTTGTAATGATAATAATTTTTCTAAGGTTGATAATTCTAGTTCAGGTAAGAATAAATATTTTAATTATAATGATAAATTTGGTAATGATAATAATTTTTTTAACGTTGATAATTTAGTAGAAAATAAGAATAAAGATTTTAATTTTAATAATGATAATTTTGATAATGTTAATAATGCTATTGCAAGTAAGAATAATTATGGTAATAAGAACGAGAAATTTGGCGATGATAAAAAGTGCTTTAACGTTGATATTAATAGAAGTGATATAAAGATAAAAAGTAGAGATTTTGAAATATATAGAATTAAAAAGGCAACTAGGGTAGACGTACTAAAAATGGAATTAGAGGATTTTTTAATGAAAAATATGCCCTAGAGTAAAGATAAACATGGAGGAAGCAGAAATTTGTTTTTTATTAGATACAGGAGCAGAAATTAGTTTAATAAGTATAAAGGATTTTATGAGATTTTGGCCAGAGAAAGAGTTTGTTACTAAAAAGATAAGAGCCAAACAACTGGATGGTAGCATGGTGAAAATTTTAGGGTATTATAGGGTAAGGTTACCAAGAGTTAATAAAAGTATAAATTTGTGGATAACGACGTTGAAGATTGAACCGATTTTAGGATGGTATGATATAAGAACGTTAGGTCCAGTTTATAATTGGTGGAAATTTTTCGATACTATCCCTGTAAGTAATGATGAAAATAGTGAAAGGATAGATTTCGATAGATTTAAGTTACCTATTATAGAGGATAAACAAGAATTAGTTCTCGATAAACTTAGAAATCGAACACCAGAATTTTTGATTAAATATAGAAGCAACTTAGAAGAAAATAAGAAAACAAGAGATACAAAGATAATAGAGGTAAATTCAGTCGAAATTAAACAAGAAATTAATAATATGGTAGATCAGAATGTTGTTGAAGATATGGTTGACAAAGAAATAAAGATTATTTTGAATAGGTATAATGAAGTCTTTAAAGAAGAATTAGGCACTCTGAAAAATTTTGAAGTAGATATACGATTAGAAGAAAATTATAGACCTAAGTTTTGCGGCATAAGAAGATTACCGTTTTCTTGGATAGAAGAGATAGATAAAGAATTAGATAAATGGTTAAGAGACGGAATAATAAAACCAATAGTGCATAGTGAATGGGCAACACCTTTAGTGCCCATAAAGAAACCAGATAACAGTTTAAGATTGTGTATAGACTATAGAGTAACAGTTAATAAGTGCGTAATAAATGAAAAGTATCCACTACCTAGAATAGAACAACTGCTAGCGAATTTAAGAGGAGACACCCTGTTTTCAAAGATTGATTTTTCGAATGCGTATTTGCAAATTAAGGTGAGTGAAAAGACAAGTAAGATACTAACGATTACAACTCATAGAGGTTTGTTTGCATTCTGTCGATTACCTTTTGGTTTGAAAATATCAGCGCCAATATTTCAAAGAACGATGACGGCGTTATTTCAAGGAATAAAAGGAATAATGTATTATTTAGATGATGTTTTGATATCTGGTAGAACAGAAGAAGAACACAATGCGAGATTAGTTAAAGTGTTAAATATTATAGTAGAAAATGGTTTAAAAGCTAATTTGAAGAAGAGCGTTTTTGGAGTAAAAGAAATAAAGTATTTAGGACATGTTATAAAGGGAAATGAGATTACGCCAATTGGAAAGAATATAGATAAGATCATGAATATGAGAGCCCCGAATAATAAAGCGGAGGTACAAGCGTTTTTAGGAGCAACAAATTATTATCATCGGTTTGTTCAAAATTTTGCAGAAATTGCTACACCGTTGTATGATTTATTAAAGAAAAATAAAAAATTTGAATGGGGAGAAGCACAGGAGAAAAGTTTCGAAAAGTTGAAAATAAAGATGGTAGAGAAGCCTATTTTAAGTTGTTTTAATGAGAAATTAAATATTATTTTAGCAGTAGATGCTTCTAATGAAGGTATAGGAGGAGTTTTGTTGCAGATGATAGATAATGTGGAGAAACCTGTTTTATTTTTATCGAGACGATTTAATAGCACTGAGAAAAATTACTCAACGATAGAAAGAGAGGCTCTAGCATTGAAATTCGGGCTTACAAAATGTAAGGAATATCTGATAGGAAAAAGGTTTTTATTGTATACGGACCATAAGCCGTTGGTAGATTTATTTAAAAAAGAGAATAAGGAACTTATGATTTCACCTAGGTTGCAAAAATGGCTAATTTTAGTTGGTAATTTCGATTTTGAAATAAAATTCAGAGAAGGTAAACAAAATTGCTTACCGGACATTTTATCAAGATTGTTTAATAAAGACATTGAAGACAAAGAACCAGTAATCAATAGTTTAGAATATATAGAAGAAGAAGAAAATGTAAATGGTAATATTATAAGAGCGGTGAGAATAGATACAAGAGAAAAACCTATAACATTTGATATAGTAGATAAGATATCCCAAAAAGATGAAGAATTAATAAGAATTAAAGCTTGTTTAAAAGGAGATATAGAATGGAAAAATGAAGATAAAGCGTTTAAAAAAGTTGAGTGAATTAAATATAGAAGACAATTGTTTATTGAGAGGATATAGATTAGTGATACCGAATAAATTAAGAAAGGAAACCTTAAATGTAATACATTCAGGTCATCAAGGCATAGAAAGAATGAAAAATAAAGCAAGAGAATATATGTGGTGGCCTAAGATGAATAAGGAAATAGAAGAGTTAACAAGGAGCTGTGAAACCTGTAACATGTGGGCTAATGTTCCAGCAAAGAATAAGGAAGATAAATGGCCAAAGACAGACATTCCATGCGAAAGAATACATGTAGATTTTTTAGAATATGAGAAGAAAAGATTTTTTATCATGGTAGATGCAGGTTCAAAATGGATAGATTGTCAGCAAGTTTCAGGTTTATCAACAAGAGTAGCTTTAGACAAGATAAAGGATTTTGTAGGCAAATATGGTTTGATGAAGACGATAGTATCAGATGGAGGTCCAGCGTTTAAAGGTAGAGCATTTGATAAATTTTGTGATAGGTGGAATATTAGACATTTATTATCACCACCTTATTACCCAAGAAGCAATGAACAAGCTGAACGAATGGTAGCTTTAGTAAAGAGTTGGTTGAAAAAGGCAAAATATGGAGAAGGTCAATGGTGGTTATCATTGTTAGCATACAACAGTACGGAAACAGCAAAAGGAAAGTCACCAGCTGAAATATTTTTAGGAAGAAAGACGAGATCAGAATTAGATTTTTTAAAGGAAAAAGTGATAAGAGAGAACAAGCAGAGAGTGAAAGATTTCCAGTAGGAAGTTTGGTGTGGGTATTGTTGTTTGATGGTCCTATTAAATGGGGGAAGGGGGTAATAAGCAAAAATATAGGAAAGAAAAAAGTAGAAGTAAAGATTGAAGGACAAGAAGGAACCTTTACAAGGCACCTGAAGCAAGTAAGGTGTAGAAGCTTAAGGCCTTAGAGAGAAATGAGAAATATACGAAGAATTAGAAAGGAATAAATTGATGATAGACATAGTAGGAGAATCATAATTTAGAAAGGAATAAATTGATGATAGACATAGTAGGAGAATCATAATTTAGAAAGGAATAAATTGATGATAGACATAGTAGGAGAATCATAATTTGGAAAGGAATAACGTGATGATAGACGTAGTAGGAGAATCATACGTTGTAGGAAATAAAAGGGATGTTAGACTTAATTAGGAGAGTTATATTTTATAAAGAGTTAGAGAAGAAAGTCGAAGAATATATATATATATGTGTATAAAGTATTTGATTTAGATGGCCTCCTATGTTATAGTGGGTAACAAAATAATGAAGATAGAGATCCGAGAGGTTGACGGTTCAGAAGAGTCCAACAGATGGGTAGAAGCCGCTAGGAACGAAGCAAAACAAAGATATGGAGATTGGCTACAAGAGACGCCAACGAGAGGGGTTCACAGGATAGCACCATATAACACAAGAAGGAGAGTGGAATGTTGGGCTTGTGAGGGAGGACACAAGTTACGATATTGTCCCAGTGTAGAGTTGACAGCGAATAATAATACGAATTTACCGATGCGAAATATGGTGGAATCAGCGAACACTTCGGGGGCAAGGGAGATCTAAAGGAAGGAGGTGTTGTATATGCAAATTCGAATGTTAATTTTGAAAAGTGATTATTCATAAATAAATGGTAGACGAAGATAATATTTTTGGGGTAATTTGTCTATGTAAATAATCTTAAATTGAACATAATATTTTTCTATAAATTTTATATATATATTCAAATATGCAAATTTTATATATTTAATTCTTCGAAAATTGTTTAATTTTTTTATATATATATATACATTGTTAATTCAAAAAAGTTCAGTTTTTGGATAATTTGGATTCTTCGAAAATTATTTTATTATTTATTGACCGATGATTTTTTTGATTATTAATTTACAGACTATATTTTGATTATTATTTTGGATTTGATAGAAGTTGAATAAAGAGTAAAAGTAGTGAATTAGTATTAGAAATTATTAATAATCATATATTTATTTATTTATTTATTATTAGTTCCATAGATATTCAGTCTCTCCCACTAGCCTCAGCATAAATATCAATCCCATATTGGTACATTGTTCACACCTACAACCCCTTTGCTTCTCAATTTTTGAGAGTATCTTCTATGATCGCTACTGACGTTCCTAACATATCCTTAAACTTAAAATCTACTCCAAGTTTTGACGTACGTTATCGCAATAAACCTACCTCATCTGAAATAGCAGTATTATTACCTGGTGATGGCAGTGATCATATAGCCCATAGAGATATTATCTTAAAAACTCGTATTAATGAGCTCCATTCCTCATACGATCCCTTGCAATATGTTCTTCTATTTCCCAGAGCGAAAATTGGATACCACCCATCCATTCATTAGAGAAACTCAACTAATAAATATGTTACCTGCAGAAAGCACTATGCCTATCGCTTTATAGTCAGGCAGGATGATGAGATTGTTATTTTAAGATCCAAACGTCTTTTTCACCAATTTATCGTCGACAGTTATGCCAAACAGGAAACGCTTCGATTAAATTTTATACGTAATAATCAATCCAAATTACGTGCCGTACTCTATCAAGGCATACATGATGCTATTTTAGAGGGAGATACTAATGCTGACAATCTTGGCAGAAGAATAATTTTGCCTTCTTCTTTTACCGGTGGCCCAAGGCATATGCTCAGCTTTATCAGGACGCAATGGCTATTGTACGCTGCTTTGGTAAACCATCATTATTCATTACTTTCACCTGCAACCCTAAATGATGAAATAATGCGTGAATTATTTCCTCATCAGACCCCAAACGACCGCCCAGATTTAGTTTGTCGCGTTTTTCGTCAAAAATTAAAATGTCTAAAAAAGGTTTTGCTCTATTATCATGTTCTTGGCAAAGTAATCGCTTATATAGATGTCATAGAATTCCAGAAAAGAGGTTTGCCTCATTGTCATATGTGCCTTATACTATATAAATCTCATAGGCTACCAACGGCTGATACTTATGATGATGTAGTTTGTTCTGAGATTCCTAACAAAATAACTGAGCCTAAGCTGTTTCAAATTATTAGCAATTTTAATACACATGGGCCATGTGGTATAACATTTCCTAATAGTCCCTGCATGATTGATGGAAAATGCTCAAAAAAATATCCTAAATCATTTGTGGATACCTCTTCTATTGATAAGTATGGTTATCCTTTATATAAGCGACGAAATGATGGCGTTACCTTCCAAAAAAAATTAAACGGATTTATATTTAACAACAGTTGGATTATTCCTTATAATAAACATTTATCAAAAAAATATAATGCACATATAAATGTAGAAATTTGTTTGTCCAGTCCATAAAATACATTTATAAGTATTGTTACAAAGGCCATGACAGAACTACTGCTTCCGTTTCCATTAATAATGTTGATGAAACTACCCAGTTCATTGATGCTCGATATATATCCGCCATAGAATCGCTATGGCGTACTTTGGATTTTGAAATGCAGGATCATTCTCCTGCAGTCTATCGTTTAGACCTTCATCTACCCAATCAACATATAATCCTTTTTCAATCAAATACTGATATAAATAATATCTTAACTAAAAATCCTGGTACAAGATTAACCGAATGGTTTAAAATTAATCAACTTGACACAGATGCCAGACATTATATTTATGCAGATTTTGTAAGATATTATGTGTGGAAACCTCTATCTAAACAGTGGATAAAACGAAAAAGGGGTGGTGATAAAGATATAGGCCGTATACGCACAGTTTCTCCTAAAGAGGGTGAGGTTTTTTATTTAAGAATATTATAATTATGTAGCTGGGCCTATATGCTTTGAAGATCTACGCTCTTTTAGTGGAATTATTATTAACACTTTTAAAGATACATGTATTCGACGTGGTCTGTTATCAGATGATGCGGAATGGAACCATTGTTTAGAGGAAGGTCTTTCATTTAAGATGCCATATCAATTGCGCCAGTTATTTTCTGTTATTTTATTACATTGTGAGCCGAGAAATCCTCTAGGCCTATGGAATTCTTTTAAATTTTATCTTTGTGAAGATTTTTCCAAGAAAATATCACCAGAACCGGATAACCTTATCACCGAAAATCTCGCGCTATGCCACATCAATCAAATTTTGATTCAAAATGGTAAATCTCTTAAGGATTTTTTGGGAATGCCTATCCCTTTATTATCCACCCAATCTCCATCTGCTACAGTTAATATTAGGTGTCACCTTATTCGGGAGGAAATTTCCTACGATACTGATGATATGTATAAAAAATATTTGGCTAACTACAATTTATTTAATCTGGATCAAAATATTATCTATGCCAAAATTATGTCGGTACCCTCCACTCCATACCATAATTTATTTTTTATAGATGGTCCTGGTGGTACTGGAAAATCATTTCTATTAAATACAATATTATTTAACTTGAGAGCTCAAGGTAAAATTGCTATAGCTGTTGCATCTTCTGGCATTGCTTTAACTCTTTTTCATAATGGCCATACTGCACATTCACGTTTCAACATCCCCTTAAGTATTCATGAAAGTTCCTCATGTAATATTACTTACCAAAGCCAAATAGCTGAATTGATAAGACAATCGGTAATTATAATATGGGACAAAATATCAATGACTCATAAACATATATTCGAGGCCGTGGATAGGTCATTTCAGGATATAATGAAATTAGACAAACCGTTTGGTGGTAAAATTATTATTTTTGGCGGAGATTTTAGACAGATTTTACCTGTTATTAAACGTGGTGGAAGATGCGACATTGTTAACTCAACCTTAAAACGATCCTATTTATGGTCACATATAGTGCCATTAAGGTTATGTATTAATATGAGACTTCTACAATTTCAGGAAGCAAATGATTATCTTATTAATAATAAATACTCAAAATTTCTTTTAAGAGTTGGTGAAGGCTGTGAAACATTCGATGGCTCCAGGGATAAAATAAAAATTCCTCAAGATTGTTGTATAGCTTCCAATGATATCGAGGATCTTATTGCTTTTGTTTACGATATAGACAAAGATAATTCATCATTTAACCGAACATCATTTGCTCAAAATGCAATCCTGACCCCTAAAAACGTAGATGTCGATTCTATAAATATTAAATTGATTAACGAAATTCCGGGGGATTTAATTACATACATAAGTGCTGATGAAACGATAACCGAGGATGAAGCGACGTTTTATCACACTGAATTTTTAAACTCTTTAAGTATATCAGGATTACCACCTCACAAACTTTTACTCAAAGTCGGGGTACCTATAATATTAATGCATAACTTAAATTCTGCTTCTGGTTTGAATAATGGGACTAAATTGATTATAACTTCTTTGCTACCAAATATAATTGAGGCGGAATTTGTTTCTGGTAGTTTTCTCAGTACTAAAGTTCTCATTCCTATAATAAATTTAATTCCTACAGATTCTGGCTTGCCATTTTCCTTTAAGCGCCGCCAATTTCCCGTGAGACCTGCTGACAATTAATAAAGCTCAGGGACAAACGTTGAACAAAGTTGGCATCTATTTACCTCATCCTGTTTTTTCACATGGACAGCTATATGTGGCTATATCTCGAGTTTGTTCTCCACATAAATTAAAGATTATAACCAATGATAAAACAAAGACTACTACCAATGTGGTATATCATGAGGTTATATCCGATTAATCCCGGTTTATACGAATAAAAATGAACATTATTTAGTATGATATTATTTTATAATTTAAACAATTTTATATTATTTAAGCATCCTTTTGTCGGGCCGCTCAATATGCCCTTTTATCTCTTATGAATATTTTGTCTAATTGAAAATTATATCAAAGTACATTTTTAAAATTTAACTAAATTAATATAACAATTTTTAAGGATCCTACTTTTTTAAAAGCTTACCATTTTGTCGGATCCACCATTGCTCTATTATCCCTGCTGATTATTTTGTATAACGCACAAAAAATATACATAGTACATTATTTTTATTATAAATAATATTATATATTATTTTATATCTATTCCAAAAAATCTTCATTTTATTTCAATAATAATGTTTATTTATATTTTTGCCTGATTTCTTTATTTGTCTAGGCTAACCCAACCTTAATCCCTCACATTGCTACAAAACATGATGATTCTATTATTAAAGATAAGCAAAGAAAATAATGACGAATAAACAAACGCCTTACCCGTTCTAGAGTTACTGGTAGACAAAATAATAAAGAAATACGCTTGAAATGAACTCATCTGGAGGTTTTTTTTATCTTATGTTTTATATCTATGTTTATTTTATTTTCACCCAGTTCTCCAAATGATATTTCTATCACCACTATCACAATCCCTATGCCACCTCCACCTATTTTTTAACAAATATAAACATTTTTATTTATCACTAAATTTTATTATCTCATTCTTTTCTTTCTATCTCTATTATCTATTAACAACTATTTCTCAAAACCTTATCACCTTTAATTTATATAATATAATAATTTATACCTTCTTTTTCCCCCCTTTTTTAATCTAATTTTTTAATTACCTTACAATTAATTAACCTTTATCTTAATAACATTACATTTATCATGTTATTTTTTAACTTTTATAATATCATAATAGACTTGATAAGTCCCCCAAAAATTTTATTTGATGATAGCCCTCCAACTTATTAGAAATATGCATCTAATATTGACCCTTCTACCGGTTTTACATTATTTTAATGTTTGTTTAATTTCAACAATAGTATATTTATATTTTTGCCTGATTTCTTTATTTGTCTAGGCTAACCCTAATCCCTCACATTGCTACCAAACATGATGAATCTATTATTAAAGATAAGCAAAGGAAAAAATGGCGATTCAACAAACGCCTTACCCGTTCTAGAGTTACTGGTGGCCAAGATAATAAGGCACTGTGAACTCCTCTGGAGGTTTATTTTGTTTTTTATCTAATGTTTTATATCTATATGTTTATTTTATACACCCAGTTGCCTCCAAATGATATTTCTATCACCACTACCACAATCCCTATGCCACCTCTGCTTAATTTTTAACAAATATAAGCATTTAATTCTACTATCATTCACCTCATTAGGAGTTATTATAAATAATACTTTATCCGATTCCCTGAGGAACTTTCATTAATATTTAGAGAGATGTTCAAACGTGAATGTGTAGTGCGGCCAATTTCATTAACATTATTAATGGGAAACTATGCGGTAGTTTTGTCATGGCCTTTATAACAATACTTACGACCGTTTTATGGTTGAGTTGACAATGTCGTTCATGATTCTATTTTAGAGGGGGATACCAAAATTGACACTTTGGCAGAAATATCATTTCGCGTTCTTCTTTTACCAGTAGTCCAGGGCCTCAGCTTTATCAGGACGCAATGGGTGTTGTACACTGCTTTGGTAATCCGTCATTATCCATTACTTTCACCTAAAACCCTAAATGGGATGATATTATACATTAATTTTTTCTTCTGCAGACGACTGCCCAGATTTATTTTGTCGTTTTTTCCATCAAAAATTAAAATGTCATAAAGGATTTGCTCTTAATTTTACCAGACACACAGAGTAATAATTAATCCTCATCATTTTTTAAAAAAATTACCTAAATTTATATGGCAAGAAAAAAAAATTTCTTAAAAAATATATAAATAAATTGCATATAAGTTTCATTAGTATTGAATGGCATTTTTGTAATTTAAATAGATGGCATTTTTTTGTACTTAACAAAAGATATAGATAGCCCTTATCAAATTTTTTGATAAAAGGAGTTAACACACTAATTGGTAAATCCGAGATTTCCCCTTCATGTGCTTATAAATTATTTAGAAATTTAACTATCTCCGGGTTTGGGAAATAGTTTTGAAACTTAATATGGGATGGACTGGGCTTGAAAAATATTCCTCAAGATTAATATTTGCTTGCACCTGACTTGGGAATATCTTATACAAATTATTATCGGCCGGGCTAGGACAAAATTTTCAAAATTATTATGGGTTGAGCTAGGCTTGAGAAATTTTTTTATAAATTATAAGGTCTTGAACGCGTGGAAATTTTTTCCAAATATTATGAGCTTGGACCTGGCTTGAAATTTTTTAATGTTAAATGTTAGTCTTATGTAACCAGTAATATATTTACAAAGAATTTTGGTATTGGGTACAAGCTCATTTAAATATATTTTGACTCAAATAATAGTTTCCACTCTTAGTCCTAATGGGTTGGATTCAATGACATTGCTTGGACTTGACCTAAATGGGCAGGGGGGGGGGTTTAAAAATTTTATAAATTGGATATGATTTTTAAATAAAAAGAAACATCTTTCTTAAAAAAACGAATAAAATTCTCATTCTCCGTCATTTTTGACGGGCTATCTACTAGTAAATATAATTTTCCAAGACTATGACAGACTGCACGATAAGATTCACATAAAAACCTGAGTAAGGATCATTTGGTAAAGAGAAACCCATTGCTTTCGCGTCAAGAGCTTTATTAAAATCAGGCTTATATAACAATTTTCATATTAATATACAAAAAAATCAATCTACACAATTTATATAAAAAAAAATCAATTTATATAAACATAAAAAAAAACAATTTAAAGGTTAGTATTAATCAGTCATATCAACATTCCAATCTTTAAAAAAATGATCTCCACTCAGGTTTTTCTTGCATGTGAATCTTATCGTGCAGTCTGTCATAGTCTTGGAAAATGATATTTATTTTAGTTGTTCATATGATTGTTCTAGTCGTTCATAAGTCATTGTAGTCGTTGGCTTGATTCTATTACGTTGGTTTGTTAATATCGTTCCGAATACGCTGGCTCGTCGTCAAGCTCCGTCGTTATCATTGTCAATTTTACAAAATTGTTATTATCACCAATTGTAAATTATCATTATTAAATAGGATTTCGGAATATATGAATAATTAGAGAATCGATCAAATTTGGATGTTAAAATAATAAAAGGATGATAAATCAACAAGATTGTTAGATAATATTTTTAGCGTTTTTTTATTTTTTATATATATATTTTTTTTTTAATTTAAAAAGTATTTTGAAATAATAATTATTCATAAGATTGTTTTTAGTAAAAAATAATTTTTTGAACCTCCAATTTTTAGAAAAAGATCTCTTCATCACATCCTTGAGTATTAATCTAGGATGAAGACGTTTAGTTTTTATATGACTTCTCTTAGTGATACTTTTAATTGTCTTCAAATTTATAAGTTTCAATTTTTTTTTATCGGAGTTTTTTTAATTTTATTATTTTCTTTAATCTTTGTTTCATTGTTTTCTTTAATGTTTATTTCCTTTTTTTCTATAATCACGAATATTTCAAATTTTATTATGAAAATTGATATATAAGCCTGATTTTTTAGTTTGATAAAAAATGTAAAATTTTAAAATAAATTAAATTAAATTAAATTCGTAACTTTGATTTGTTCTAAATTAAATAAAATAAACTCGTAACATTTATTTGTTTCTAGAAAACTTTATGGTTGCAGTTCCGCTACATATTCGAGGAAATCGTAAATAAATATTAAACAAATTCCCAATAATAATGTTAATATAAATATTGAATTTCCAATATACTCAGGCAAAGGCGATTTTTTTTGAGTAGATTAGAAGACCAAGGACACTCAGATCTCGGACATCGAAAAAGCAGGTTCCTTTACGAGAAGACTACCAGATAAGGTATATATCAAATTAGACGAACTAAATAAAATTGGGCTTATATAACAATTTTCATATTAATATATAAAAATTTATATAAAAAAAAATTAATCTACACAATTTATAAAAAATCAATTTATATAAAGATAAAAAAAACAATTTAAAGGTTAGTATTAATCGGTCATATCAGCATTAATAGATAGTATTATAATAAAAGAAATAATAAAAACAGTCCGTAAGTAACTTATTACTTTACGATAAATGGAATATATTAACATGTACTTTTGATATACTGATGAATAAAATTACAGAAAATAATCCCGGATTCATATTTTTAACAGATATCATAAAATAATTATAATTAAAATGATTTCGATTAATATGACTGCTAATAATATGACTGTTAATAATATTAATTTCTCGCGTCAAGAACATTTGAGATTATATTTCTAGTGGCATCACTAGAAAGGAGGGCGCAGGGGCTCGAGCCCCCTGAAATATTTGAATAGCCCCCTGAAGCAAAATTTTTTTTTAATGGCTCCTTAATATTCCCTTGAACTAAAAATAAATTTTTTTGATTGCCCCCTGAACGATTTCTTTTTTTTAATTTTACGTAATATATAGTTTTAATTTTATTATTTAAAAATTAATAAGACTATCTAAATTTTTATTAAATGAATACTTTTTTAATAATTAGATTAGATTAATACATATAAATTATATTTTCACAATGTCAGTTTGCAATCAATGTTAAAAATAGAATATCATAACTCACTAAATATTAATTTAGCATTAACAGTTGAAGCTTAATTGACTTTTAT